GTTGAAGGTCGACGACCGACCAGGGGCGCGGTCGCGACCCACCTCCACCGAGCCCACGGCAGCCTCGGCCCTGGGCACTGACGAGGAGGGGCGCGTGCCACGACGACCAACAATTCCGTACGCCCCGCTCAGGATCAGCAACACGGCCGCTCCCGCTGAAGACACCGCATCGGTCTACATCGACGAGCAGTCTCTCGATGACTCCCAATCGGTAATCAACGCATGCCGTGTGCCGTGTGCCGTGTGCCGTGTGCCGTGTGCCGTGTGCCGTGTGCCGTGTGCCGTGTGCCGTGTGCCGTGCGCCGTGCGCCGTGCGCCGTGCGCCGTGTGCCCACTTCCTCACTCTTGTGCTTCGTCCGCCAGTACTGTCCGCCCCACGAGCCGTCAGGCCTACGCGCAGATGGGAGCGATCAATTGGGGGACCGATCTGACGTGGTTCGCGTTCATGGTTCGCCGATTGGTAGGCCAGGCCACGTGCGCGAACCCTCCGGCGCGCCCTGGGCCGGAGGGGACAGCGAGCTCGCCAAGTCATTCGACTATTCTGAAAGCGTACGGCGTACCCCCACTCCCCACTCCTCGCCGACCGCATGCCAGCTCACCGTCGTCGCGTTTATGGTAGCCGAACGTGTACCAGGAGTCGGCGGGGTCATCCATGGCGTGGTTCGTTTGGCTCGTGCGCAGCCTTCCCTCGCAGACCTACCACCAGTACGCCTTCATATTCAGCGTGTGTCGTTGGTCGTGTCGTGTCGTGTCGTGTGCCGTGGTGGCTGAATTTAGCCTGTGCCGTACATAGAGCCCGAACGTGGCCAGACTACGACGAGTCGGCCGACATCTACCTGGTCAATGACAACGAGCTCTACGTGTACCCGGAGCACTCTGAGTTCTTTGCGGTGTTCACCTCGGAGCTGTATCGCGTCGAGGACTCCTCTCGCTACTACTTCATCATCTCCGGTACACTGACCGCGCACCACGCTCGCACTCGGCGCGAGTGCCAGGGTTCTTATCACGTGTGTGTGTGTGTGTGTGTGTGTGTGTGTGTGTGTGTGTGTGTGTGTGTGTGTGTGTGTGTGTGTGTGTCGTTGCTTCGTCGGTTTGCAGACGAGGGAGACAAGCTCGGGATCATTTTCAGCACGCGGGAGGAGAGCGCGGCATTTGCCCGGGCGATCGAGCCGGGCCTGGGCTACGACATACCCGTCGGGTACCGCGCTCCAGCCCAGCCCAGCCCAGCCAGCACGAATTTGATTGTGACTTACGCTGTTTCTCTCCTCTTTTCGATTAGGGGCGTGTGGGACAATGCGGGCGGCAAGGTCGGTGGTGGCACCGATCCCAAGTGGAAGAGCCAAAAGAAGGACAAGTCCAAGTCGGTCGTCGTACGGGGTTCGTCGCTGCTGCCTTCAGCGTGTGTCGTGTGTGTCGTGTGTGTCGTGCGTGTCGTGCGTGTCGTGTCGTGCAAGAGTACGCCGTTGCTGATCCGCTCCTTGTCTGCGTAGATGAGGGCGACACGATATGTCAAGAATTTGAGGAGAAGGAGGTGATGCACGACGGGTGGTTCGATGCTCCGGCCAAGCACGCCGGTCTGAGCCTCAACCAGCTGCGAACGATGCCTGTACGCTCACCCGACAGCGGTCCATTCCCGACCACACACTCACGCGTGTGCGGTGGTGCGTGTCATGCGTGTCGTGGCGTTGTTCGTGTCGTGTCGTGCGATGCGCAGGTAAATTTGGAAGAGCGGGAAGTGATAGAGGTGGACGCACGCCACGACGCGCGACTGCAGAACATTCTCCGCCTGACGCAGCTCCTCTTCTCCAAGTTCCCGACGCTCGAAACCAAAGTCCGTGTCATCGCTCTCCAGGTACCGTGCCCCCCCCCCACTCTCACGACTCGAGCGCACACGCACGACCGCACACACGCACAACGCAACGTGCGCAGTTTTTAATGCGAGGGCGCGTGCGTCTCAAGGTCGCCAACGCGCTGGGCGGCGTGTACAGCGAGGATCTGCGGGAGATCCACGTCGCGCACATACAAAATGTAAAGAAAAAGCTCCAGTCCAACGTTGTCCCCCTCGGAAGCATCAAATTCGGCGTATTGCGCCATCGCGTCATTCTATTGTACGTCTCCCCTCCGGCGCCCGCCGCGCATCGTGTGTCATGTGCGTGTTGCGTGTCGTGTGTCGTGTGTGTTGCGCATGTCGTGCTTTTGCAAATGGCTGATGACCGCGTGCGATTGTGTCATGGTGGCTGCGCAGTAAATACCTCTGTGACCATCTGCACCCATCACTGCCGTGCACGCTCTCCATGAACGAGGAGGGCATGCTCTGTAATCTCGTTCCCGTCTCGTCCAACATCACCAAATACAAGGTACGCCCGCCACCACCGCACACGCACACACCGCCGCACACACCGCACACGCGCTGAATTGTGCACAATAATTGTGCACAGGGTGTGGACGTGATGGCGGTGCCGGGTCGCTTGAGGGCCGAGGGCCGGGACAGGAAGATCATGTGGCGCGGCTCGCAGGGGGCGGCGTCGGCCGAGCGCCACGTGATCCTGCCCGACCTGCAGAGCGAGCCCATCGTGTTCCACAAGAAGCTGGGCGAGGGCGGCTTCTCCACGGTCTATCGATGCGCCATCGGACCGCTCACGTACAACTCGACCCACGTGACCTCTACGCGGCCACTTCTCTTTCCCAACTCACGCGTGTGCGTGTGAGTGTGCGTGTGCGTGCAGGTGTGCGGCCAAGGTGTACAAGCGAACGGACGACCGGATTGGGAAGGAACTGGTGCGAGAGTGCATGATCCAGACCCACCTCTCCCACAAAAACATTCTCGGCTGCCTCGGGTGCCCCACCTCTTTCTTTTTTTTGCTTTTCTTTTTTTGCTTTTCCTTTTTTAGATTATTTGGTGGATAATTCATTTATTCATTTATTTACTTATTTACTTATTAATGGTTGCGTGCAGTTACGAGAAAACGGCGACGGACTTCCGCATCTTCTTCGAGTACATGGGCCTGGGCTCCTTCTGGGACGTGCTCTATCGCCGCAAGGTGGCACTCAAGTACGCCCGCCACCACCGCACATGCACCATCGCACACGCACACAGCTGATGGTGGCTGTGTGGTGTGGTGTCGATGCCAGACCGTTCGAACCCAAGGAAATCGCCTACTACGCATCGGAGGTGGCGCGCGGGTTGCACTACCTCCACCGCAACAAGATCTTCCACCGCGACATCAAGAGTGCGAACATCCTCGTGGACGGCGACGAGGGCGAGTTCTTCAAGTCGGTCAAGCTGTGCGACTTCAACATATCGACCTACCGCTCCGACGCCTTCTCGCGCGTCGGCACCCCACGTACGCACCACAACTGCGGCCGCAGTCAAGCAAGCCTTCACCACACTTCTTTGCCTACTCACTTACTACGACTGCGCAGAATACATGGCCCCGGAACTGCTCAACAACACGGAGGGACGACCAATCGACACCGAGAAAGCCGACAGTGCGTTGTTGGCCTGCCCAATACAGTCTCAGAATGTTACTGGACTTGTTACTGATACGCGCGCGTGTGTGTCGTGTGTGTCGTGTGTCGTGTGTGTGTGTCGTGTGTGTGTGTGTGTGTGTGGTGTGTAGTGTGGTCGTTTGGCATGTTCATTGTGGAGCTCATCACCCTCGACGCGCCGTACGCTGGGCTGGCCGAGGGCGAGTACGCACGCCTCATCTCCCGTGGCATCCTGCCGCCCAATCTGCCCTCAGTATGCCCCCCCCCGCCGTGTGTTATTGTGTTGTTGTTGTTGTTGTTGTTGTTTTGTGTGTGTGTGTGTGTCACGGACTCACCATCATCAACATCATCGTGGTCTGGCCTGGCAGGTAAAGGAGAACAAAGGGGTGGAGCTTGTGATAAAGTGCTGTAACCTCAACCCAGCACTACGGCCATCAGCAAGGGATGTGGTGGTCTACCTGAACCCACTCGATGACTCGTGTAATGTACCCTGATGCTAAATGCTCATGATCATGTAAAACTTTGGGTCTGCTCCCCACCCCCCTTTCCAAAAGCGAGAAAGCGTCATGGGTCAAATATTGGGTCAAATATTGGTCGCCGGGCGGCTATATTATTGCCCCTACCTTTTGTAGGCAAGATGTTCCTTATTTGGTAATGGTGATTTTTTAAGGTCTTCTTGTGGCGCGGGAGGGAGTAGTAGTAGTAGCAGTCGAACCGGACCAAGTGCAAGCATGGCCGCAGTGAAATCTTCGGTTTTCCTGGTCTTCTTCGTTGCGGCCGTTGCGGCGCTCCTCCTTGTGCAGGCCGAGGCCAGGAGCTACGGTGTCAACTCCCTCTCCAAGTCCTCCTGTCGCTTCGCGCAAGAAGTGGACGTTGCGGTGGGGGAGTTCCCCAGTTTGGGGGACGACCGCAGTCCGGTGGTGGTGGGCTCCTCGGGGGTCTACTACGTGGGCGACTCTAGAACGGGATCCTTCTACAAGAACCTCACCCGCCGGGCCACCACCACGACCCGAATCGACGGCCTCTTCTCCGACCTGGGCAACGGCGACCTGTGGACCTTCGGCACCTCCTCCTCTACCTGGCTCGCAGTGGCTTCCAATGCGGACATTCCCGAGGCGACCAGGCTCACCCACTTGATTCCGCTGGCGGCCGACGCCGAGGGCCAGCTGAGCACCGACGAGGGTCGCGAAGTCGTCACCCTCTCGTCACCCCTCTTCCCCCACACGTACGACATCCAGCCGACCCTGTTCCTCGGCATGGGCGAGTTCGTGTACGCTTCGTCCGCCGAGGGTCCTTCCGAGTTCGCCGGCGCCTTCCTCGTCGACATCGCCACCGGCTCAGTCGAACGCATCTATGAGATGGCCGACGGAGAGGCGTGGGCGGTGAACCCCAGAGGCGATGAGACCGAGAACTGGGTGACGTCGGGCGTGATGGAGCGCAGCGGGGAGACCATCAAGCTCCTCGCCGTCTACTCCAACTGGACTGACGATTCAGCCTACACGGGAGGCGTCTACCGCTACAACGTCGACGGCTCGCTCCACTCCAAGGTCTACAGAGGCTTTCTCGACGACGCCGCCACGTTCACCGTCAACTACTGGAGCAACGACGACAAGAGGTGGTTCGCCCACGGCGAGACCGCGCCCTTGAACGCCGACGAAAGCCCGAGGATTCCAGGCCTGACGGAAGACGAGTGGATCCTGTCGTGCGCGGCCGACCACTACAACGCCAGCGGGGCGTCGACCACGTCCTGTGCCGTGTGCGCTCTTGTGTCAGCCATGTGGTCCTCCTTCTTCTTCTGATCCAGGAGTTACCCCTCCTCCCCTCCATGAACACAATTAGGGGGCAAAAAGCACTTCAATCTCCTGCCAAACAACCACCTTTTTTTTTTGGCCACCGAGGATTCATGACATATCGGCTGGGTAGGAAGTACTAGCTCTAGAGCTCGCGCAAGCATGGTCGCAGTCAAATCTTCGACCCCTTCGCATCTTGCGGCTGTCGCCCAGGCCCGCGATCCCCCCAGACCCCTTCGCATCTTCCTCGTGGCCATGGGTGATGCCAAAAGCTACGGCGTCAGCTCCCTCCTGTCGCTTCGCCACTGTGTGTGGACACTGCGAGTTGACGGTGAAGGTGGCGTCGGTATTACTTGATGGTCTCCCCGCTGCGCTCCACCACGCCCGACCCCACCCATGTCTCGGCAGATGGCTGGAACAGCGGCGACAAGAGGCGGTTCACCCACGGCGACCTTGAACCCCGATGTCAGCCCGAGGATTCCCGGTCTGACGGAAGATGGGTGGATCCTGTCGTGCGCGGCCGGTCACTGGACCAGTGGGGCGTCGACCACGTCCTGCGCTGTGTGCTCTCTTGTATCGGCCTTGTGTTCCTTCTTCTTCTGACACGCACACACGCACACGCTCCTCTTGTAACATCCTCAGTTGGAATCACGCGAATATTATTCATCATTGGGATCTTCACCACCAAGATCCTCCAAGCTCGAGTTGAGGCTGGTGTCTGCTGTGTACGCCTGCTGTGTGCTGTGGATCTCGCGCAGCAGCGCCTTTGCTTCTTCCTTTTCCTGTGGCAGCGACACAAAACAAATCTCACAAGAATGAGACTCGACACGACGACGACGAGGCAACGCGACGGCAACCAAGTATGTGCGTACCTTGCCCGCAAAGTCCAACAGGCGCAGGCAGTAGTGCTCTGCTTCAGCCATTTGACCCAGCTCCTTCCAATAGTGCGCCAGGTAGAGCAGTGCTTCGATCGTGTCCAGACCCTCGCGCTTCATTCACATCACGGACCATTAGCAGGACACACACACACACACACACACACACGACACACACCACACACACTACACAGCACGAATGTGTGGTTGGGGCCGTACCTGTTCGCTGTCTTGTCGCTGGATGTTCTTCGCATAGTAATGCGCTGCTTGGTCGTGATGCCCCAATGAGCGGTACAGGTTGGCCAACGCGTTCAACACGTTCATCGCAATCGGCTGATGCGTGCGTGTGCGTGTGCGTGTGCGTGTGCGTGTGCGTGTGCGTGTGCGTGTGCGTGTTATGTAAGCGAAAAAACTCGACCCGAAACAAACCAACCAACGCCCTACCTCGCCTTCGGAGTAGGACTCGGCACGTTCGTAGCACTTGATGGCATCGCCGACCCTCCCCACCTCCTCATAGCACGCTGCCATGGCGCACCATATCCGGGCGTCATATGGCCTGTGACGCGCATGCGTTGTTTTTTGGGGGGGAGGGGGGCGATGTAAGCAAAAGGCGAGCTCGCTCGGCTGGAAGGGACAACGAACCGGAGTGTGATGCCCTTCTGATAGTAGTACGTGGCGTAGTGGGGCATCTTCAGCAGTTCGTAGGTCTGGCCCAACCCATACCACGCGCGGTAGTCGCGACTGTTGATCTCTGCACACACGACACACACGACACACCGGTGTTGGAAAAAGAAAAGAAAGAAAAAGAAAGAAAGAGGCAAACCGGCAGCTTTGCGGTAGGCGCGGACGGCGGCGGGGATGTTCTTCATCTCCATGTACTCGTGGCCCATGAGGATGTAGGCCGACAGGAACTTCGGGTTCAGCCGGACCGCCCGCGAAAAATACTGCACGGCCTTCTCGTGCTCCTCCTTCAGTCCGTAGTAGTTGCCTGTGTGTGGCCACACGCCGCACACGCGAGTGAGACACGCCAAAAGGCACACACCGCACTCACCGCACACACTGCATACGACACGACACACGACACACATGACACGCGCGCGAAATGGGAAAGGAAGGGAGTGATATGATGTACCGATAATGCAGCAGGTCTCCTCGCGATACTTGTCGGTGGTGTGGGCCTTGTGTGCGAGGATGGAGAGCTTGGCGTGGTTCTCCTTGACGTAGAGGATGTTGCTGTAGTACTCCATGTTCTCCACGCTGAACTCGTCCTTCTTCTCCAGCTGCTCGAACAGCGCCTCTGCCTCGTCAAATTCTAATCTCGACCAACAATGTAGAAGTCAGCAAGGCTGTGCGTGCGTGCGTGCGTGCGGTGTATGCGTGCGTGCGTGCGGTGTGTGCGTCTGAAGTGGAAAAAACGGACCTCTCAGATGGTAGTTGGCGATGGCCCGCTGGGCGAGCAAAAAGTCGGAGTGCGGGAAGACTGAGGCCAGCACGTCGTAGATCCGCAGACACACGCCCACCTGCTGAAACTCGAGGCACGCCTGCGCGTAGAAGAAATCCCTTTTTTTGTCCACACAACCCCCAAATAAGCCATCAATTCCAAATAATAATCAAAAAATCATAATTCAACACTAAAATATAATAATAATAATAATATAATTATATAAAGAGAGATAATAGTGGGTACCGCATGATGTGGTGGGGGAGGTTGAGGCTGGCGATGTGCTCCCAGGAGAGGGACGGCAGTGCGGCGAGGTCGAGCCACGCGCTCCAGTTCCAGGGGTAGGCGCGCACGGACTCAGCCAGCATATCGCGTGCCTTGTCCAATTGGCCCTCTTCGCGCAGCACGATCGCATAGCTGTGTGCACATCATCACAATCATCATCACCCATGACTCGTGCAACGAGTCACACACGACACACACGACACACACGACACAGCCAAAGAAATACAGGGCAGGGTGCGAGGTGGTACATGTAAGAGCAGAAGCCGTCGAGCGGTCCCATGGCGCAGCGCGAGGCCAGCCGTCGTCGCAAGAGACCGAGCTTGGCGTTGCGCACCGTCGAACCCTCCGCCCCTTCGGTGTGAATGCATGTGCGTGCGTGCGTGCGTGGCTTGAGATCAGTCACGGCCACGCATTCTCTGGCACACGTGCGCCCACAGCAATGCATCGATTGCGCCCTAACGAGCACGAGAGCGGAAGGGCTGGACCGCACCAGCGAGCTCGACGGTCTCCTCCTCCTTGCGCTTCTCACCGGCCAGGTAGAGCGAGTAGCACGAGAAAAAGAGTGCACTGCAGCCGTCGCACGCACACACCGCACACGCACACGCACACGCACCACCGCACACACCGCACACGGCGACCAGTGTGAGAATGCAACACACAAATTTGTGGCGGGAGGAGGTGGTGGTTACCGGAGGGAGAGCTCGGAGGCGTCGGTATCGTCGAGGTAGGATCGTGGCTCGAGCATGCGGGCGGCCTTGCCGTAGTCCTTGAGATCGAAGTGGTTCTTGGCCAGCAGCAGCCTCGCTTCCTCCTTCTTCTCCTTTGCAGCCTCCTCTTCATCGATTATGCCACTGGGCTCGCATTCTTCACCATCATGACCTCCATCTTCTTCAGGCATGCCCATGACCTGCTCCACGGCCCATTTCGAAGCCGCGTAGAGGCCACGCGAGGATAGCTCCCGCGCCGCGCGTAGGAGCTCGGAACGGAGGCGCCTGGGGCTCGTGTGTGGATCAAAATCGGGCGATTCGATGAAGAGGGTGAGATCGGCCTCTGAAGCCGAGGGAGGCGGGACTAAAGAGGAAGGCGAGCCCAGGAGCAGAAGATTGTCGGCATCGAGGCCGCCCAAGGACATCGCCTTGCGCGCTGGTGATCGAGTAGGCGTCTCCATCTTCTAAATTAAATGAAAAATGTTCTCTCCACTTCCTCTACCGCCTCCAATCAATCGAGAGGATACAAGAGGTGTAGCTATCAGCTCCCTCCTTGATCGATTTTCCAATCTGCTCTCTTCCCGCCAAAAGAAATTGGGCAAAGATAAAATTATAAAATAAAATAACAAGAGTTTGTGGTCATCGCAGGATCACGTCGATGTCGAGGGCTTGTAGACGCTATCGGCCAGGAGCACGCTCGCGCCCTGACCGAGCGCCGCGTAGAAAGCCACACTGCCCTGTCGGTCCCGTGTGACCACCGCTGGCCGATTCGCGACCAGCGGCATCACTTGCGCCCGCGGGGAGGACGTGGCGGTGGCCTGATTGCTGCCGCTGGTGGTGCCCTGGGCGGCGGGAGCCTTCGCCTTGCGGCCCTGCTTCTTCCTCTTCTTCTTCCTCATCGTCTTTGTCTGCTCTTTGGTCGTGGCCGCGGCGATCTGGTTGGTGCTGGTGTTGGTGTTGTTGTTCGGCAGGGCAGTGTCACTGTCGCTCTCAGTTGGCGTCGGCGCCGCGTCACTGCCGCCCGCTGCCCCCGGAGGCGAGGGCAGCGTGGTAGAAGAGGTGGACGAGGTCCTGGTGGTGGAGCTCGATTGATCGCGGGCGATCGATTGAGGCGTGGGCGAGGGCAGCGAGGTGGTACCGGTCGAGTTGGATCGCTGGTGCTGGTGGTGCGGGCTGCTTCCGTCGCCGCTGCCGCCGCTACTGCTGCCCAGGTCGACCTTCCCGCGAAACGAAAGTATGCGCTCCTTGAGGTGCTTCAGCGACTTGACCCTCTTGGCACCGCCGCCATTGGAGCCGCCCCGCGATCCAGTCAGCGCCGCACGCTGGTCGTCGTCGCTCGACTCCTCCACCTGGGCTGGTCGCTCTCGAATCACGTCGATGTCGTCGTCATCGCCGTCATCGCCGTCAGAGTCGTGGCCACCGCTGGCCCGCAGCGTAGTGTCATCAAAGCTGCCGGTCCGCTCGTTCTTGTGGCGCCCGCGCGCGTGGTGCGCTTGATGCACACATTGGCCGCTTCCGCTTTTGTTCTTCGCGTTTCTTTTCTTTTGCAGCTGCCCCCGTCGTCGCCGGTTCTGTTCGTCGTCGTGCTGCTTCTGCTGCTCGGTCGTCGCGCTGTTACTTCGGTCGCGCAGACTCGACGCTGACGACCCGCCGGCGACGTCGAGCTCCCCGGAGCTCCAGGGCTGCAGGCTCTTCGGCCGCCCCTTGCTGTGGCCGCCGGCAGCAACGCCCAGCAGGGCCGACGACAGCGACTCGTGGACCCCGCTGCCGCTTCCGCCGATGATGAGGGAGCCCTCGCGTTCGTCGCGGTCGCTCGTGTCCGGCGTCGACAGTTCGAGCGGTTGGCTGTCGGACTCGCTCGCGCTCGAAAGCACGATCTCCGTGTTCCACGGCTCGGCGGTGTGCCCCTTGAAAACGATGCAACTGCCGCTGGACATATTGCGCGATAGCGGCGACGAAGATGACAGTGGCGACGGCGACGGCGCTGGTTTGGACGTGTCGTACACCTTGAGGTGGTACATCTCCCGCTCCAGCATGCCAGCGGTGCCCTGGCTCAACATGGCGTAGAAGGCGATGCTGGCGTTGCGCTCGCGCACCATCGGTCGGGGCTGCAGAGCTGCTGTCACGGTCGACGCGTTGTCTTCCCTACTCAGCACCTCGGACACCGTGTCGCTTTTCATCGCGGCCTCGAAGTACTCCTGCGCCGTGTCTGGGTTGAGGCTCGATTCCTCTGTCGTGTGGTGTGGGCCGTGTCAGTCATGGGCGATAGCTGGTGCGGGCACCACTGAGACGAGCGCACCATGTGGCAGGCCTTCCAGCGGTTGTGCTATGGGGCAGCTCTTCAGCGACATGCTGTACAGCACGTCGTCATCGTCCTCGTATTGGAGCGTTTCCAGGTATCGGCGCGCCGAGTCCTTTCGCGGCAGGGAGTAGGAGTTGGCCTGGAAGTTCTTGAGCTCGGCCACGATCTGGTACTGGAGATCGATCAGGTGCGAATTGATCCAGCCCTCGGACGTATACGCCGCATTACCCTCGCTCACCGCTATAAAATCTGATGATATGCAGTGGTGCGTGTGCGTGTGCGTGTGCGTGTGCGTGTGCGACGAGCGTAAGTGAAGAGAGCGAGTAAGGGCCTAAGTGGGTTGAATGTAGGTACCTCGCAGGATGATGGCCAGGTACGGCAGGATGGGCGGAATGCCGCGCGCTACGAACAAGTTCGATGATCCGCCCGAGGCCGGCGAAGAGAACGGCGACGAGGCGGAGAACGGCGAAGAAGGAGACAGAGACGAGTGCGACGAAAGCGATGCCGAGGACGACAGGAGCGGCAGCGAGGGAGACGGCGACGATGGCACCAATTGGCCACAACTGACGCTGCTGGAGAGGCCCGGTGGTGGCAAGCTCAAGACTGGTAGCGTTCGATCACCCACCAGCGCGCCGGTCGATGCGCCCAGCTCGGTGAGGAAGTACTTGTCCTTGCCCTCCTGCAACGCCTTCTCGGCGAGCGCCGCAGACAGGTCGGCTTGGCCCGCCCTGTCGGTGTTGATGAGGTGCAGCGCCTCCTGTCGGGGCAGCGCGTCGCCGCCGCTCAGCCTCTCCTTCGCCTTTGCCTTCGTCTTTGTCTCTTTCGCTCTTTCCTTCACTTTCCCGTCGCTTTCCTTTTCTTCGCTGCCTTCGCTTTTCGTGGCCGTGGTTGCGGTGGCGGCTGTAGCGCTTGC